ATAAACTGTAGATGGTTGATTTTAACATATTGACACTGGGAAACATACACTGATCATTTGACAATGGGTAAACATGTTTCTGAGAACCTGACATCCTTTTAAAGGTCTCCTTAATGGGTCATATTCAGAGGATATTGAGCTGGGGAACCAACCCAGTCTCACTCCTAACTCGTAAAATACAGACGCTTGGTTAGTGGCCCTCGGTGTGACATATCTGCACCGAGGCACCCTTTAATGGTACTATGAGACACACCAGGTGGTGGCATTTTTGATGCTCCGAGCAACTGCAGTAGTATAAAGAGCAAGAAAGTCCACAGAGTGTGGGCAGGAGTGGAGGTGGATGGGTAAACCAAACTCTGGACTTTCACCCAGGAGGCCACTGTTTGTTCACCATGTGGAGCCAAAAGTCAGCCAAGTTATTTGAATAATAAATCATACAGTAATGTAGTGTGCAAGTGTGTGTAGCATACTATGCCAGTGACATTACATTATGTTAGTAAAAGCTGTACTTATTTTAAGCCAAGCCATGATATAGTTTTTCCAAACTTAACCACGTGTTTTTCAGTTCAGTTCATTTAAATTTTATTGCAAAGCCCAATATCGCAGATCAGTTTGCCTCAGAGGGCTTTACAACATACGATATTCCGGTTTTGGCCCTGATTTTCATGCTCTCAGTGTAGTCGCTGTGATGCCACCTTTTCAGGTGATGGAAAAGGTTTATTGTGTTTCCTTCCTGGTTTGCACCAACTGACGACATGTTTTGCAGACCGTCTTTGTCCGTGCGTCGTCACCTTTCGAGTAGACGTTCCACTGCCATATTATTGACACTGGATAACCTTTTTCATCCACAATTTCATCTTTTTTTAAAGGATAATGCAAGCTCTTCCTTAGCGTCACCACCGCTTTGCTCCTCACTTCCACTCATGGGTGTACACAATGCCTCAACTCAACTCAACTTTATTTATATAGCACTTTACACACAACACCGTTGATCCAAAGTGCTCAACATCATACACAGAGGAAAACAAAAAGCAAAAGAAGAGAACAAACAAGAGAAAAAAAATAGTACGATCAAAGATAATAGTACAATTACAAAAAATCCTGATAAGGATAATAGTAGTAATAAAAGCACAATAAAGGCACAGACTTCAGGTTAAAAAATTGGGCTGGTCGGCTTAGGCACAATCAAAGGCGGCTGAATACAGGTACGTTTTTAAATGACTTTAAAAATCTCAATGGTGGGGGAAAACCGGATAGGAGGAGGAAGAGAATTCCAGCGATAGAGAAACTCCTGTCCCATAACACTTAGTCCTAGATCTCGGGACTGATAAAAACCTTTGATCGGAGGATCTGAGCTCTATGGCTGTGTGATAAGGGGACAGGAGTTCTTCTGCTTCTGCTGCATGACACGCTGTTTGGCTTTATCTAGGTCTATCCATATCGAGTAAAATGACTATAGGGCATCATTGTCATCGACATACATTTTATTGCGATCCTGTTTCAAGATCGTTTTATCGCCCAGCCCTAGTCAGGCAAAAACCTAACTACATACTTTTGTTGCCTAAACTTAAGGAGGTAAACCTAAAAACAACCTAAAAAGTGTTTTACCTACATTCTTAGTTTATTTATAAAAGACACAGTATCCATTTAGAGGTACCAAGAGTGTCATAGTTTTATGTGTGGGGCCATTGTCCAAGTATTGGTATTTCACGAGTTGCCAGTGAGAGTGTGTCTGGGGAACACAGATACGCTACCCCATTCATCCATTCAGCTCACAGTTGAGTTTCAAGACCTCAACTGTGAGTTGGGTGGAAATCAGAGGATTTGGGTGCTCTGTCGGGTGCTATAACATCAGTTGAATATCTAATTTAACAAGAATAGTTCTCTGTTTTTCTCTCATGCTCACATACACGCAGACAACTTCAGCAGATTGGGACAAAGTAGCCTGTCAGGAGGCCAGAAGGTGTACAGAAGAGTCAGAGAGGGAACAGATGGACGAGAGGGAGAAAGAGAGAAAACAAACACATGCTTGAATGTTGGAAGAGCAGATTTTTTTTTTTTATGTCACGATCACAGCACAGTTGGAGTTGGACACATGACCCTACCTCAGAATTTTAACCCCCTCCTCACATTTATGTCTCATGTTGTACTTGTGTCATCTCGCAGCGCTTCGGCACGCTGTCACTGTTTTCTGTGAAGTCAGCTGAAGTGCTGTATTTGTCTGCTATTTGCCTAACAGCTACAAATAAACCATATGGTAGCTGTGACCACATACTTACTCGCGTGCAACGGACAGATGGAGGGAATTATTTGATTGGCAGGTAGGCGGTCCAGCGACTACGGGTTACGGTGCGTGTCAGAAGGTGACAGACGGCGGTGTGTTGGCCACTCTAGGCACCCATCAGCATTAGCTTGATGGCATGTGTCGTCCCAGTGGGGATTGACCCCTGCTTTTATTTTCCAATTAGTTCACATTTGTGGCTCGTTAGAGTTGTCCGGTATTCACACACAAACACACACGCCCTCTGGAGCACATGTGTGTCTGCACAATGTTGGATTCACACACATTTGTACTTTAGAGTGGTGGCTGAGCTCAGGGTAGGTTATATGCAGTCAGATAGGCTCACCTACACACCTCCCACATCATTTTCCAAACACTGTGTTCAGCTTTTACACCAGCCCACTGCTTGTGGCTTTTTGTAATAGTTGCACAAGCTTTGGTGCATGCACTTATAAAGGAATACACTGTACTGTATCACATAAACAAACAGGATTGGTGTCCCATTAGGGTAAAAACAAACATCCTGAACTTTGTACTTACTTAAAGGAGCAGTGTGTGAGATTTAGGGGGTTTTAGTGGCATCTTGCAGTGAGGATTCAGGATCCTTCAACCAGTTGAAACTTCTTCCGGTTAGGATCCCTTCAGTGTTTTTATCGGGAGCAGAATCATCTTTCCAAAACAAACACACCAGGGGTCTCAGTTATAAACATTGTGCATGCACAAAACAAGGCCTGAAAGAGGGGTATGCTACTTCCCAGGCAAAATTTGTGATCTTTATACAGGCTTGATGGGAGACTTGATGGGAGAAACCCATGTTTACGAACGTTTGGGAGACAGGAAAGTTTCTACACAGATGGTGAGGTTGAAGCCTGATTGCATAAATTGTTGAATATTTTTGGTGCACGCCATTTTTGGCTTTAGTCCATACGTACATTTTCATAATGGATCCTATGCATTCTTTTATGAATGAGACCCCTGGTGATTTGAAACAGTAAAAACATTGAATAAAGCAGTTTCACTTTACATATCAGTGTTTCTCTGGTGCTGTTCGGCTCGTCTGAGAATGTCCGTTAGCCCATCACCTGCTAAAATGTGCTCACCTTTTTTCTCTGATAACTTAAGATCCAGACGTTGGGGAGGTTTTTACTAGGAGCTAAATTATCCGCAGAGGTTGCTATCCAATCTAGAGCCAGTGTTTGGTTTGTCCATTCTGAGCTTCTGTAGAAATATAGCGGTTATAAATATTATAATCCATTTCCGCCGATATATCCCCCTAAATCTTAAACACTGGACCCTTCTCATGAAAGTGTGTGTCATAATTTCAGCCTTGATATCACCATTCTCTCTTATAAAGACATCAGATATAAATGGTGTCAACCAAATATCTTTTATGTCTCACACTTGCTTTTTATATCTCCCCATGCCTTTTTGTTATTCCACTGTTTCCTTCACCGGTGTTCTTTTGAAGGCAGGGCATCAGGAGTCGTTTCAGAGTCAGCACTGTTCCCTTCCACTGGAACTGTCACTGTTACTCAGGCCAAAACACCAGCGTTGTCACTGGACATGAATATCGACCTCAATACTGACACTAAGCCGAATATGTAAAACCCATAGATACATGGAAACAAATTTAAAATTGAATGAAGAAAGTCACATGTGGAGTCCTCAGCACAGGGGTAGATTAGATATCTGTCTTTAACAGTTATATATAGTTCAGCACTGAAACCAGCTCAGCCACGCTAGACTGTTTCATGCTGTTGTTGGCGTGTTTTCTGCTTCTCATCAGCTTCAACAGTCCACTGTTATACCACTGTTGTTTTACCTGTTAAAGGGACAGTTCACCCCCAAATCAAAAATACAAATTTCCCCTCTTACCTTTAGAGCTATTTATAAGTCATGATTGTTCTGTTGTGAGTTGCTGAGTGTTGGAGATATCTGCCGTAGAGATGTCTGCCTTCTTTCCAATGTCATGGAGCTAGATGGCACTCAGCTTTCCTGAAATCATGACCTGGTTTCTCAAAATAATCCACAGACTTTGTTGTGAGCATTCTCATGTAGGAACTATTTTCTCTCACACCCGCCAACTGTATCACCGAGCAGAAGAACTTGTGCATCTACTCATGGACAAGAGGCTCATGCTTGTGACAGTACGAGATGTAAACATAAGTGACACCCTCCTTGGCTGAGCTGTAACATTGGCTAGCTCAGTAGTGTTGGGTGAGGGAGCAGTAGATGAACACTTCCTGTCACTCAACACTTTTCAAATGTATTTTTTTGGTGCTTTGAGCAGCACAAGCCGAGGGCCACTTAGTGCCATTATATTGGAGAGAAGGCATCTCTATGGCTGATATGTCCAACACTCAGCAACTCACATTAAAACAATTTAAGAAGAAAAATATGTATTTTTGGTTTTTAGGTGAACTATCTCTTTAAATATCCAAATATATCTGTATGTATAAACTGTCTCCCTAAATGTCAGCCTTTATTTCATCCATTCTTCTTTTGTCATATATGGAGTACCAGAATAAGTAGAGGGTAACGGGAGAATTTACAGCTTGAAATTGAGGAAGTACTAGACTGTTCTCACTCAGTCTTGGTTGTGAGTCACTGGAGCCCAGCGATGGCCTTGTTCTCTGTGCTGAAATGCTAATCAGCATCCATCTCTCTCTCTCTCTGTTTTTCTCTTCATCTCCTCTCTCCCTATCTCTCTGTCCTCCAGACTTTAACTACAACACAGATGGCTACGAGGGGGACGGAGCGGAGGACGGCAAGTCTCAGGATGGCTCCGAGACGCTGCCCTATATAGATGAATCGCCCACCATGTCGCCCCAGCTGTGTGCGCCCCAAGGGCCTGACGGAGAAACGGTCTCCCCCACACCCCCAGAGGGGCTGCTGCCAGGGGTAAGAGCGCACACACATACAGACACAGCCACACATCAGTAGCAGTCATCCACACTTGAACTTCTACACACAACTTCGTATGGTTAGACAATGGAATAATGTGACAGATGGAGACAGAGGGCCGTGCAACATAAATCACAGCCTGGATGTTTCAGGTTGTGATTACACACAGGATGACTGATTGGGTGCAGTTCTCCTCTAGGTGAGTTTCTTAAGGCCGCTACAAGGAGTTCGTAACCGGTTCACAATCTTAGTTCAATACCGATGTCTCTTTATAACTTGCAAAAGCAAATGAGACCATTTGCAAGAAGATAGGCTATTCCTATACCCTTCATGCCTGTCCCTGCTTCTGATACCCCGCTAAATCAGATGAAACAATTTACAACACGCATTCCCAAAGAGCCTGTGTTTACATTTTCCCAGGCAAAGTTTGGCATCAAGTTGTACCTTAGCCAGTTAAAAGGAATCAGGAGGAGATCTTCTAAACAGTTAAAAAGTTGAAGTGAAATCACTCTTACAGCCACTGAAATGTTCTTTGAAAGTATAATATTGTACATTATGAACCATCCTGACATTATTCACATGCTGTCAGGAGTATAATACAGCTAAAGCCGACATATACGTCATCAGCCAAGTGTTTCTCATGCAATTAGCAGTAGGAGGTTTCTTCCTGAAGTTAGCCGCCGGAACTAGACCCTGTGTAATTGTTAGCGATTAGTCACAATAGCTGGACTGCCTGCAGCACACTGCAGGGGGCGCATTCACAGCAGCAGGAAGTGACCGCTGACCCAGATGGGGTTTGACGCCATCGGCACCAATTTGCCAGTTATTTAGTCCTTCATTCCAGGACTGTATATTCATAATGCTGTTTTTAAAAGTAGTCATTGAAGTGATCATTTGTCAGTCAATCAGTGTTCAGTGATGCCAGTTTATTCCTGTGCACCTAAAGTTCATAATTTAGGTTTTAGTTGCTGTTTTCTTTGTTTATTCGATCACTGAGGCTGTCAGGGCACATGGGGAGAAGAAATGCAATACTGCCTGTGTTTACTTCAAGAAAACTGTTGCTTCAGGAAATATGAAACACACTGTTGTCTGTAGAATCTCCCAGTTAAGTCCCACCAGACTCCAGGCATTTAGAGAGGCTGATGCAAAATCTTTCATAAAATGGAAATACATTCCTTGTCGTATAAAAATGCTGACTTTCCTGAATGGTTTTATCTGCATATATCAGCATCTGTGGCGCTGATATTTACTCCGTCACGTCAGTGGGTCAGGGTTGAGCACTGCTCTTTTCATGCCCCACAGCTATGTGTGTCCTGTGTGACCAGTTGTGTGTCATGCTGTGTGAGTGGATGCTTACCACCCAGTCCGGGAGGCTCAGCAGGAGTCATGTTGACCCTGACCTGAACTGATCCTCCCACACGCACACAATAAGAGGCTACATCACAGCAGCAGCTTTAACATGCAGGTGGAACTGGCTCCGACTTTTGTTTTGTGGTTTACACTTTCAAAGCTTGTTTCTTTATTATACATTATAACAGAAGTAGGGAATTTTCCTGGAAATACCCTTAGACACCTTTTATAGAAATGTCTCATGGTCACCTTTTCCAACCTGACTCTCACAGCTCCCACTTTGCTCTATTTGCTCTTTAATTCCGCCCGCTCTCTCCCATTGACTCTTTTTATTTCTCCTTCAAGCAGCTTTATTGTCATCGCATTATCGCAGCAGTGCAAACACACCGTGGCCTTGATCATTGACCTTCTTGTTATAGCAGTGATGTATGAATTATTCATTTTATTGTTCTGTTGAATTCACAGTGAATCACCCTGAGGTCGGCTCGTTTAAATGAAAATGTGTCTCCATCTAGTGGCACCATGTGGTAACAGACAGGACATTTTCACATTTGTTTTCTGATTGCTTCAGCACCATCTTTGAAACTAGAGTAAAGGCTATTTTTTTGCAAAACTTAAATTTAAACCAAACCAGTGAAACATTAAACATCTTCTGCAAAAGCAAACGATTCTTAAAAAACTCTTCAAACTGTTTAAAAATTGTGTTTTTGTGTCAGTTCAGTACACACACTTACATTTGAATTAGCACACAAGGCACCAACTATACACTGATACTATAAATTAGATGTGAAAAACTTCTTCCCTTGGAGGGCCAAAACTGAAACCTAATGTTGGGCCATGGGCCTAAAGCAAACACCTATTGTATTGTATTGTATTGTATTGTATTGTATTGTATTGTTAAGATGCAAAATGGTAGTAGGATTAAGTAGTAGGATTAAGATGCAAAATGGTAGTAGGATTGCATTTCCCTTAATTGAAATCCCTTTTGTCCATGTGCCAACGTCTCTACAATCGTTTCTTACTGCACCTGAGCCAAACTGACTTTCTGCACCAAGTGTTACTCTGCCCACTGTGCTTAGATTATGAAAAATCACTAACACTTATCAGGGATCCTATATATTTAAAGAGCATTTTAACCCCACAAAAAAATAAAACAGCAGTATATATTAATTTCACATTTTTAGGGGGTTAGAAACATATGGCGGGCAAAATTGAGCCTTGTGTCCGGCTTACTCCAGTTCCCAAACAGCGGCTTGTGGCACTTGTGCCTTTTGCTTTTTCTGTGTGCAGATCACAGCAGTTTGCAATACCGTTTTATCATACATGTTGTAAACACACATACACACAGGTATCCAAATGTGTAAATTATCCATGTTCATTCTGAACACTATTACTATTGTTCCTCAAACACTCCTTAAACAAAAAATCAAAAAAGAAATGGGAAAGATTTGTGTAAGAAAACAAAGAACAGAAAAAAAAAAATCTGCTTCATCTCGCCTTCTCTGTGGGGCCGGCAGTAACTTCATTCACATCTTTCTGTCCAATATTGCCCTCCATTGTTGTTCAAATCAAATGTTCACCTGTGGTTTATTTATAGTGCTCAAGCTTTGATTTGTAAGTGAGCTCATTTCCTAAAAATGTTTTCACATATGTCAGAGTAGAGATGTGTAGAGACCAATGTTTCCAGTTTTGCGAGAAGTGCATTATTAAATTACAAACAGAGTGTAAAGCAAAGAATGTGCATCCTGTTTGGCACACTTGGTAAATGCACTGCTTCAAGAATCACTGTGAGTGTTAAAGCATTCAGCAAAACTGCAATAATGTGAAAGGACTAGTCCAATGACCTGTTGCTAGAGGCTTGCTCTCAGGAATTTAGTTTCCTCAGTGAGAGTTAATTATATTTTCATTAGCACGAACCACTTGAAAAAAAATGCAGTTGAAGTACTCATTCACTTTTAAATGCAGTGAATCCTGGGAACCTCAGGTCGCTGTTAATGATGAAATAAAGTGGTCGCAAGAAAAAGATTCTTCAGGCACTTTTAGGAACATTTTATATGATAAACACTTGAATCCCTTCACCTTTAAGTAACCATCATTGCAGGCATAATGTTAGGCAAACAGCTCTGAATAATCTCAATATGTAGTTCTGATACTTTATTTTGGAGCAGTTTATAGTTTGGTAGGCTGGTTTGATGCTGCTACAGATTAAATGTGGAGGATTCACGTCAGACGCTGCAGCCTCTGAAGTCTTTCCACTGTAGTCGTCCTCTCCTCACCGCCTTGTTAAGTTGGCCTTTCTTTCCGCTGAGTTTGCCTTTCGTCTGCTGATGTGAGAGATCCAACGCTGGCACCTCCATGCCAAGTTGCATACATTCTGCATGAGGAGCGTGTTTGTAAATGTGCGCGCATGAGAGTTAAATGGACATGAATATGTTTTAGTTTGTATTTTGGGTTGGTTTAAAACCATGGCGTCAGTGTATCTGTGTATACCACCCTCTGTTGTTGCTCTGTCTGTGTTTTTTTCCCCACCTTCAAAGGATTTTTAAATGGTGGGTCTAAAGATAGTGGGTGTTATAAAAGGGAAAATTGGTGATTTAATGTTGAATAAATTAAATTTACTTGACAAGTTATTTGGAGCACAAAAGCTGCCAAAATGTAAAATAAACAAATGTATTTAAAAATGAATAAATAAAAAATAAATGTGAAATGAATGTATGAATTAATAAAAAAAAATACATACATTTAAAAATAACTAAAAAATATATATAAAAATAATTCAATAAGTAAATAGATAAATAAGTAAAAAAAATAAAAGGGAAAATTTAACAGGAAAGTAAATAGAGGAAATAGTACAAAGATGGAGAAATAAAGCCATTTATTAATTATTTTGGCAGCTTCAATTTTATTCTTTCTTTTCTTCATTTTATTTGATCCTCCTTGTTTCTGCCTTTTGTTATTTTACTTTCTATCCTTTGTCCTCTTTTTTTGTATGCTCCTTTATCCACCCATATTAATGGCTTGCAACTAAGATGACCTAGAAATACAAGCCACAAGCATAAATTTACTCTTTTTTTGTTTTCCCAACGCTCTTCCGAGGTTGCAGCTTGTAAAATAAATCTCACCTACATAATAAAGGCGAGGATAATGATACTCAACTTTCAACCTGCAGGCCAAATCTGGCCCCTGATAGGTGCCAAGTGGGAGCTGACCATTTTCTAACTCACAATCAAAATAAATTGATTCACGCTGGGATTTTTTTTTTCTCACTCTGAATCTAAATAAGGAGCAAGAATACATTGAAAATAATTACCAAAATAGAGCTTGTTTATATTAAAAATGTTAGGGGAGGATCCTCCATACCTCCTGGCAGTCCTCATATCCTAGAGGCGCCCCTTTTTACACCTGAACTAGGCAGGACTGGTCATCTGGATTTACCTCTTGGCAAAGAGGAGTGGTGACAGCACATTTTAAAGGCTGAAAACAGGCAATTAAATGAAAAATGAACACATTAATTTGCCTTTATCTGTGCTTATTTTTTAAAAGTGTATTCATTTTATTTGATAAATATTGTAGATGTTTGATTACCAACTGGCCCCTGGCCTCCTGTCATGTTGCAAAAGTAGCCCCTGGGCAAAACAAGTCAAGTA